AAAAAAAAAAAAAAAAAAAAACAAAATTTATTTTTTTTGAAATTTTGAGAATCACACCACTACACCACCTCAAAAAGAAAAAAAAATTAATTTTTTTTTGAAATTTTGAGAATTACCACACCACCTCCTCAAAAAAAAAAAATAATAATAATAATAAATAAAAAAAGGTGTTTCCCGCGTTTTCAATTTTTTCAAATTTTACACTGAAAACGCCCAAAACGACTAAAAAGTCGTTTTGTGTTTTCTTCACAATTTTTTTTTTCGTTTTCAAAAATTCGTTTTCGAAAACAGGAAAGAGAACACGTTTTCACCGTTTTGAAAAATCGAAAATAGAAAACGGCCAGAAAACGGTAAAGAGAACATGGCCTAAATTTTCGTTTTTTTCAAAATCGAAAATTGCTTTAATTTGGGCTTTTGATAATTAGTTTTTTGGGCACCATATTTTGATCTATTTTTGCTATTGGGATTAGGATTAGATGGAGACGAAGAGAGTGTGATTATGAAAAGTTTTGGGATCAAAACATTCAAGAAACATTAAATTTAAAGTGGAACTTTCTTTGAACACAACGCATTATGAACCAAACGTTGATATTTTTGCACCAAATTTGTAGGATATATTCTTGTATTAAAAGGTTAAACCCTAACCTTAAGGGTCCCCCACCACCCCTACCCTGGAGCATCGTGAGGAGGGTAAATCGCAGGTTATGCCTCCAAGGGTACAGGATGGAAGGCTACTTGTACACTTGCACTTACCCAAGAGCCAAATCCATATTTTAGGATTCGAACCCTTGATGCAGCAACCTCAAGCAAAGCTGGATTTCTCCACTCTCCCCTTTTACCACTTGGAGATGTGCCCTGGGGGCGGATATATTCTTGTATTGATATAGAACATGGTGGTGTGATAAAGTTTGCACTTGCATTGGAATTAAGGGTGTTTTGACACAAACGCATGCAAGAGGCCGCATCTCCCCTACGTTACCTATTGTGTCCTTGTCTGCATTCCCTGCTGCGTCCACTATTTGCGTCCATCTGCATTCTGCCTGCATTTACCTGTTACGTCCTGCCTGTGTACCCTTGCAGGGTTTTCCATTTTCTTACTTTTCTTTTATTTTTTAGGTCATAACAAGCTTATAATCATCATTCCTAATTAAATAGCATAAATTCACATATGGATATAGTGATCATTATAATGGACATGTTTCACAAAACGAGCATGGAAATGATGTTGAAGGAAGATAGAACACCAAGTGATAAACAAGAAATATCATATACATGGTGAGTATTGCTAACGTTTCTTTAAGCCTTTTTATTTTTATTTTTATTTTTATTTTTTCATACGTTGAGGAGAATGTGTATTTTAAGTTTGGGGGAGGTGAAGACTAATTAGCTAGTTTATTTACTTGTGTGTCTGATATTTTTCGTGAGAAAGTTTATATTTGTTTTTTGTGTTAAAAAAAAGAAAAAAGAAAAAAAAAAGAGAGAAGTTGAAGAACTTGAATTTTTAAAAAAAAAGATATATAAGATTGTTTATGTTTCATAAATTGTGAACATGTGATGTGATTTATTTGCTAATTTGATATTTGTTCACGTTAAATTGTATTATATTGAGCACAATAGTCATGATAATTGTTACATATTTTTGGCTAACAATTAGAGACTAGGTAGTGACCATCTACTAGCTAGGAGTTTGATTTCAGATACTTATCCCAAAAATAAAAGACATTGCACTAACCGTGGCACGTAAAAAAATTTCCTACTTTGTTGTGTGGAGCTATTTTTGAGAATCTGGCTCTATTCATCACCAATTTTTAGGAGACGATCTATTAGGGAAGAAGGCTGCGTGCAATGTAGAGTGAAAATTGGTTTCGAGAATCAAAGGAAATATTCTAAAAATAGAAGAAGGGACACAATGAAAAATAAAGAAAGAAAAACAAACCGAGAGTGTATTGAGGCAATAGCGAAACAACTATAAGCATTCTTTCTATCCCAGTAAGCCTTGGATACTTAATTTGAAATTTAGACTTTTGGTGAGGGTTATTATCCTAATTGAAATTTGGAGGTTAAGATATTCAAATTTAAGGATCAGTATCGGGATGATGACTTTCATTGGTAAAACCCAACCAAACTTGAGAGGGAAGGAATGAGTGTTGTGAAATTAACCTTAGGATATACACCTTGGGAATGTGATTGGAAAATAAATCTGGGAATGTTCATCTCACAAGAGAGTAAGGAAATATTTGACAACTAAGGTTCAAGAAATAACTAATTTTTGAAATTCGTGATAATTTGATTGACCATGCACACACATTGATCAAGCATGGAGTAAGTAAGGAATAATTTTTATTTGCATTACTTATGAACTTTTTGTGAATTATAAAACGATTTCAATAATTGATGTGAGTTCGACAAAGCTATTTAATGCATTTATATATTTTTTTGATTGTTTTGTGTTTAATAGATCATTTTACTGAGGACAAACAAGAGTTTAAGTTTGTGAGTCATTGATAAGTGTATTTTATGCGCTTATTCATGTTACTATCTTATTTAATTAGATATAAAATGAGTGATTATCTATTTAATTTGTGTAAATTATGTTAATTGAAGGAAAATCCCAACTTGGATACAATTTATGTGAAAAGAGGTTGTTTGGAGCTTAATTGGAGTTCATTTGATGCAACTGAAGATTAATTGGATTGCAAGAGATCAATTGAAAATATTAATAGAGTATTCGATAAAAATTCATGTGTTTCGAGAGTTAAATTCGACAATCGCAAAGTTTGACTAAATATTGCTAACATTGAAACTTGCCTCAGATCAATTCTTAATGATTTTGGAATGAAAATGACTTAATTGCAAAATAATAGAAGATGAAGGACTAAAGTCACATGAAAAAAGGAGTTCAATTGGGAAAAACTAATAATAAAAAAATTTATTTCCTTTTATTTCTTAAACTATTTGGTAAAAACAAATTTGAACGCCTTTTGTGGAAATCAAGTTGAATAAGGATTTTGCCTAAATCTTATTTTTTAAATGCACACCAATGTTCAACAATTAAAGGGGGCTCATAGTGTTTCATTATGCACATATATTTAAGCCAAGGTTTGGAAATTTCATTATACATATATTATTCAAGTCAAAAGGAAAAAAAATGTAAGAAATCAATCAAGAAGCTAAGGTTTCAAGATTTCACAAGAGGGTGGAATCTTGATACAAGATCTTCATATTTTTCTCGTTTTCCCTTAAAATTCGATGATATACTTTAATTTTTTCTTTTATTTTTATTCTCCCATGATGTTTAAGTAAGTAATTGGTTAGGATAAATGATTGTAATCTAATTTCTAACCTTAATAATTAAAAAAAATATTTAAATATCAAATTGATTGAGTGAATTGTTTTTACTTCCAATCCTAATGCTTGGATCAATTGTCCATTGATTCATTGATTTTGTGAGAAATAAGTACGTAGAGATGCATATTATTTGTTTAGACACGTGGAAAAATTCAAAAACTAGTATAAAACGTACATTTAATTAATGTATATTCGAATTCACATAAAAATATGAATTGATTTACTTAAATAGACTAATGAGATCTCGAGAGAGGTAAATTGAATATTTTAGAAGAATTTAATCAGGTAAACATAGTCAATTGTATAAAATTTGGTGAATGAGATGAAAGAGATAATTATAGTAAAATCATAAATCCGAACACTTCAAACCATCATATTAAAGGGATAATTATGGAAAAATTCAATGGACAGGAATTTTTCCTCTCCATAGTACGTGTCACGTGCCTCTGCCAAGTGTACAGTACACCTGACTGCTAGGTTGGCACGTCCTTGCCCAAATAAATTGCAGCTGCTTCATTTTTTTTTATTTGATTCTTTTAATTATTTTATCTGGGAAAATGTAAATTTGCAATTTTACCTTTACAATATACATTTGCTAATCTGTCCTTCTATTGTAAGTGGCAACGAAATGAAAGGTTTGAAAGATACACAAATGAAATATTTGGATAAAAGTTGGGGAAAAAAAAAAAATTGGATCGCAGCTACAATCCTAAATTTAATTACTTGTATTGTAGTCTTTGATAAATTATAACTTTTGTATTTTATTTCAATTCTCATTTTGAAGACACCGAAGTGACCTAATCGAAGCCATTAGAGCACATCAAACATAAACTTTTATTTTGAAAGCTTTTTTCTTTTTCCCATATATTACATAAATTAAGCTATATAACACATATTCAAACTTGCAAGACAAACTGAGTTTTGCCATGCACAGCTTGATCAAGACAAATTTAATTAAGTGCTTATTTGGTAGAGATTTTGTTAATTAATATTTTGATCGTTAGAGATAAAGTGGATCCTATCTGTGAGAGAAGAATTCAAAAATGACGACTGAAATAGTGAAATAATGATCAAAAAATTGATTTTAATTGAATTTTAAGCTGTACCAAACATGCTGTAAATTTGAGAGCGCCTAAAATGAAAATTCCAAAATTCAAACCAATACTGAAGTCATATGTTAAGCAATGAAAATTGTGTTTTCAATTTAAAGTTGGAGATGGAATTAGATTTCATAATATACAAAAACTCAATAGAGTTGTAATATTTATTTATTTTTCATATAAAAACAACATGAACTAATCATAATAGAAGTTCTCGGGGCATAGTTCAGTGAAGTAAATGACAGGAATGAGGTAGTCTCAACCTTACTGGCAGCTGCAGTGTGAGGGTTCGATTCCTGAGATATAGAATTGGACTCTATGTGGGCACTAGTGTACAGGCAAGCTCTTGTTTCCTGATCTGTTGGGGTACATTCAGCGATTTACCTCCCTCACGATGTTTTAGGAGCGGGACGGTAGGGACCCTCAAGATTGAAGTTCAACC